GGTCTGAGCGGGGGCTGCGGAAGGCGGGCGGCGGGGCCGGGGGTCTGAGCGGGGGCTGCGGAAGGCGGGCGGCGGGGCCGGGGGTCCCTCCGCGCTCAGCCCGCGCCCGCCCCGCAGCGAGCAGCTGATGCAGCTGTACAGCGCGCGGCAGCGGCGCCGGCTGAACCGCGGCCTGCGGAGGAAGCAGCACTCGCTGCTCAAGCGGCTGCGCAAGGCCAAGAAGGAGGCGCCGCCGATGGAGAAGCCGGAGGTGGTAAAGACGCACCTGCGGGACATGATCATCCTGCCCGAGATGGTGGGCAGCATGGTGGGCGTCTACAACGGCAAGACCTTCAACCAGGTGGAAATCAAGGTGCGTGCGGGCCGGGCGCGCGGGGTGCCGTGGGCGGGCGCGTGCCGTTCCTGCCGGGCGCCGTCCGCGGCCGCTGACGCCCTGCCCCGCCCGCCCCTGCAGCCCGAGATGATCGGCCACTACCTGGGCGAGTTCTCCATCACCTACAAGCCGGTGAAGCACGGCCGGCCGGGCATCGGGGCCACGCACTCGTCGCGCTTCATCCCTCTCAAGTAGCCGCCGCACAATAAAGGCGCGGACCCGCCTCGTCTGCAGTCGAGCGTCCTTCTTTCCTTCCTTCCCCCTGGCGTCCAGGACCCGCGGCCGCGCGTCCTCCGGTCCTCCGGTCCTCCGGCGTGTGCCTGTGGCGGCCCGGCTTCCTGCTGTGGGCGTGGGCGCCCCGAGCCAACTCGGGCTCAGCGCGGTCTCCGCCGGCCCGCGGACCCTCCAGCCTCAGACCACACTCGGCGGAGCTGCCCTGCCCTTGTGGGGCTCCTCCTCCCGCAGTCTCCGTCCTGGGGGTGGGCTCCACGGCCGGAAGCCGCCATCGCAGGAAGCTTCGCACACCTCGGGCCTCTCCCATCCCTGCGGCTGCACCCAGCTGCCCCACGTCCCTGGCGCGGCTGCCTGCGTCTCTCCAGGCCCCTGGGTCTCCCATGACGCCCTGTGGCTAGGCTCACCGGGCACCCCCTTAGGTTCGGATGAAGGGTCTCAGCCCTGCTCCCTCCCGTGTTTCTGCACCAGTTTGTCTCCTTCACGACGGGAGAGACATGCAGACCCCGTTGGCGGGTGCCCCAGGAGACCGGGTGTCCCTGGGCAGTGGTTCCTGTGACTCACGGACAGGGACCCTATGTGGGGAGAGGCAAGGCAGTATCCTGGCTTTGGCCT